GAAGATTTCAATTAAGTACCTGTTAGAATTAATCGCAACTTTCGTGTAACATTCGTGTTTTATCCGATATTTGGTGTACCCGGGGATGCCGTCAATCACCACAGTTCAATCGCTGGCTGTGTCTGCGAATGGGGAATGCCTTACATTTACCGTGTTCTCATGACTAATGACTGTACATTGATGCGTGGAGCACATGTACCTAACATCAGGGTGTTTACTGGTACATAGCATGTTTTTGAGCAGGTTAGAACTAATACTCTATATGAAACAAAGCATTTGTGACCTGCAGAAATAATGGATGTACACATTCATTTTGAACTCGGGCACCATTCGTGAATATGAGGAATCTGGAGGACTCTCCTTGAACTACGAACTCAAGATCTCTAGACTGTCGATTGATGGGATGAAGCGGCTTGTTGGCCATCAGTCAGAGGTTACAAAGGGGTTTTACTGTCCGTGCACTCTCCTCCCCGTACTATACTGAGTAGTACGTGCAAGCACAGATGAATGAATCACTTTCCAATCGGACTCCTACTGCTCAAGTGTTCTATCTCCTCGTTTCCTCGTCACTAACATTGTTCCGCTCCGCAGGGCAGTTCGAATTGCTGTTAGCAAACAACACTGAAACAGTAAGCAGATGCTGCGGCTGCGAAGCAGGCGCAGAAGATGCACCGACGCCAGAGAGTATATCATGAGCTTCCAGAACAAAGCCAAGCGTAGCTATTTATGCAGGTTTTGGCCGAGATGAAGTGTAACCCGCCTCGCTTCGCTCAGCGTTGATTCTGTTTAGAATGAATGATTGTTGCCGCCTCGCTTCCCTCGCCGGAGAATGATAAAAGTTCGTATTTTTCTTGTTATACTAGGAATAGTAACCCCAACGCCAAGCACAATACCTACTTGGGTGTGTATATTTTTATTCCAATTAAGGACGAAACTGTCACTGTGGAGATACTTTAGTTTCTAGTCCATCTGTGTTGTAATCTGCTGAAGTAAGGAGGATTTCCAAAACATAAGCATAGACTCTGAGAAACGATTTGTAGCAATTGTAGAATGATTAACATTATCGAAGAAACATGTGAACAACCATTTAAAACGCTAGGTTTGGTAAGCAGCCCCCGAAAAAAATGCGATAAGCAAAAACTTATTGGAACTGGTTAGAGACACTCGCTCCTAACAGATAAAACACGGTACGCGTTTTGTAATTTACGCGGATAAAATACGAGTCGATCAAAATTTGGAATTCTGGATTTCTGAAACATGACACCCGGTCTCCACCTTTCACTCGTCCTCGTTTGCTCTGAGTCGTCCATTTCGGAAAAGCGCAAATTCGGCGCAAACCACTAGCGACTTCAGCAAGGGGTTATGACTTGGTAAGGACAAATGAACTGGGGGCCACTGTGGGTTCTGCATTAACGCTGATCGCTTTGCGCATATACTAGGTTCTTCACGTTCAAGAGCGACAGTAAGCCAGAGCTAGAGGTTCTACCAGGCAGTACGTGGGTCTGTCCGCCCATTGACGTCGAGTGGTACGAAGACTGGGACGCGTTCCGCACGTACATGGACGGCTATCAACCTAGCACGCGCCAGGTCTTCCGCCAGCGCACTTCCGTCTCGGTTAGAAAGTGGAACCAGGAAATCGCCGGCCAGACAAGACCTGTCTGTGAAATATTGTTATTGATGTCTTACTGTTTTCAAATCGTGTAGGCAAGATCGTTACGCTACGCAACGTGCACAACATGGTAATCAGGATGAAAAAAAA